TTTACTTGAATTCCTTAAAGAATTTGCAGGTTTTAAAATGAGTTTTTGCACAATAATGAACGAAGGTTTATTGAATTCAAAGCACAAAATGAAAACATGTGCATTTGCAGAGAACATGTTAATGTTACATACTTCTTTCATACTGATCAGGTCCCATACGTTCATTGACATACACATAGAATGATCAAATTGTAACCTTAAAATCAACTTTTACCCCAGATAGATGTTATAACCACAGATGAACATCAGAAAAGTGCAATTGTTTATGATTTCTAATTCAGATCATATGTATCGAAAATGAAAACTCATTCAATTAAATAAATGTGACAACAATAAAAATGGCGAGAAAATTTCAAAGGAGATGTAATAAGCGCTTATTGATTTATGTGCAGGAGATATGCCAAGAAAGTATCATTCTTCTATTCTCTTACTTCCTGTAATACAAATGTCTAGAATTGATTTGCATTAATCAGAAACAATATGGCCAATCATTAGAGAAGAGGGATATCTAATAATAAGACAGGGCACATAGTATAGTATAAGCATTTGCATTAAACTGTACCAAATATCCGTGTATGATGTTTATTTAAAAGCTTTCTTTGATGTTTCTAGACGTTATTTTTAGGATCCATACGATTGTACCTAGAAATTTCTTTGTATCAGTCGACAGGGAATCAAAGTGGTAAATTTCCATAAATTTCCATAAAAGTTTTTATACTGTTTTGATTAACCACTTCAAATGATTATAATATAGTTAAATTAACGCCGTGGGCAGATTTTAAGAAAACTGAAGTGAGAGTTGATAATGGAATACGATTGACTGGGCTTTGTCTCTTGACTTCAGGTTGAATTAACTATCCTCCTCCAAGTATATGAGGATGTTTTGTCAGAAGTTGTTGACACTTTGATATCAACATATCTTCAATACTTGGAACCTTTTTGCTATATATTTTTTTTATTAATGGTGAAGTGTGCATATGGTTCTATCTATCTATCTATCTATCTATCTATCTATATATATATATATATATATATATATATATATATATATATATATATATATATATATATATATATATATATATATATATATATATATATATATATATATATATATATATTAATGGAAGCGTTACTAGCTTGTACACTTTTATATATGTAGTTTCATATTGAATGGCGATTTCCTACATAAATATGCACTTTAATGACAAGGAGAAAAAAGTCCACATTCTTTGATTAATGTAAAGTGCTTGAGACTCACCTAATATAAACACAATTAAAGAAAATCATTATTACTGTAATTATATCACAGCATGAACTTTGTTCCCTTAGGTTTCAGAATAATTGAACATAATTTTGATGAAATATGAAGATAACGAACAGTAATCAAGCTCAAAAGTCCATTGAAACAAAACAAATTGGGAGCAGAACAAATACGGACTTCTAAAAACACCAGAGGTGGGATCAGGTGCCACGGAGGAGTAAGCATCCCTGACGACCAGTCACACCCGCCGTGTGCTCCTTGCCATGATCGACCAAACGGAAAAATCCGTAGACAATTCAGTGGGAAAATAATGGCCTAACAAATTGTATGAAAAAGTCAGTCAGCATTCGATTTAACCACAGACTGTACTTGCTGACAAGACCATTGTATTGACCGTAGAATTTGCGAAATGTAAACTTCAAACGAGACTGTTGATATCCTTATATTACAGTGTATCAACTTATTTGTTAATAGTTTGTATTGTTCTCGAAATCGTTCGTAAATGTACGTAGTGCATGCTCTTGCGTATCGAATCAACTGGTGAACATAAACTCCATATGCAGGTTATAATGGTATATTGATAAGGTATATTGAAAGTTGAAGATGCTGATATACATAATCTTAGAGTGTTTGTTGAAAAAGTGTTTCATATTTTGTGATACAACATCTATTTCCTAAAAGAAATTTCAGATACTCAATACAATTACAAGAACTCTAAATATGGTAAATCATAGGTAATCAGCATCAAGTTTGTCGGTTGAAAGTGTCGGTTATGAAATAACAGTTGTCATTGTGCTCATTTGCATTGACAGAACAATAGGACATTCGTGCAAACTTCATACAGATACCATACAGAGCCCTTTACAATCTAAAATATGTTTCAGGTCTGATAATGTTCTATATCCCCTGAACTGTAAAACCATATCCTTAAGATTTAATATCTGCATTTGCCAGGACCGGAATTATTGATGAATTGTCTACACCAATCTCTATCATTTTGTGTGATATTGCATACTAATATGCAAGCTACAATAAATACTTGGTATGATTTCTCTATGGAAAACATCCCGAGATTGCAATATGGAAATTTAGATTTTCAATTATAGACTTAGGTATATTGTTGATGATACTGAGGTGTGCTCTTTCCTTAACATGTATTTCAAAGTTGAAAGTCACTTAATTAGTGACTTCAAATTTGCATAAGATGTTCCTTATCACATTAAGATTTGTTGTGACCTTCACTGTAAAAAATGTGTTTACAATTCAAACACTTTTCTAAACACTTTCTTGTCACCTCCTTTTTTATATGTTTAATTTCTAAACATGTAAAATTCCTAAACATGTCTTAGAAAGTGTTTAGAATTTAAACACTTGTGTGCTTAGAAATTAAACATATCTAAACACATAAACACAAGTGTTTAAATTCTAAACACATAACAGCAGATGTGTTTAAAATCTAAACACATCATAAGTTTAATTTGTACCTGCAGAAAAACAAAACACTCTCGTAAATTTAGGCACAAAAAGTATATGTTTTTTAAATGCGCATTATTGTCAAAATTTTCAAAATATGTAACCAATATTAATTATTTTCCATAAAGCCACTGAACGTTGGGATATGTATTTAATTATACAATGCAATGGACACTGTGCGATGTACATGTACTTAATTTACACAAATAATGTAGGAGATGGAACTGAATAGATTTGATTAGTCTCAACAATTCAATCAGAATGACACATAATTTATAATGTACACATAGATAACAAACTTTTAATCTTCAAAATTATTAAGAAAATAATATTAAGCTGACAATTTAATATCAAAACTTCATTGAAAATTTTTAAAAGGCTTTATTAAAGAATTGTTAAACTAAAAATACAAAATGTATATTTATAGATATATTTATTATAATCATTATAATTTGAATCGGCTGCAGAGTTTTCCTCGTGTCAATCACAAAATATCAAATTTTATGAACTTTCAGCAAGTCCCAAAGCACCACATATTATAATCTATATCCCATCAATAACTGCCAGAAAGTAACCCATTTCGAATGCACGAGGATACCTAATTGTAAACACTGTCGAATTAACACAGTAGTCTTCAACAAATGAAGGTTTCAAAGTGTTGATTATGGAACAACAACATTGCAATTGGAGATGACACCAAGTACTCTGATACGTTGTATTTTTAGTTCGATCTGGACTACGTACGGTGCCTGTAGGAAAGAAAGCCAGATTTTAGAAAAAGTACACTATCACTGATATTTTACATTACTTAGAAAAACAAAATTGTTCAAGTCTTCGTGAAACTACACTGATATAAATATAGTTGTTTTTAATGACATTTAATATTATTTTCTCTCCTGCAAGTCTATGAACGAATTCAAGATATCTCAAGTCAACTTTATTTATGTTGCTCATCGTGGTTAACTAATGCAAAGAAGAAGAAAACAAACCTTTAATGTATTGCAGTAACAAGATGCCCTTTCACGTATTTCACTATTTCGTCATGGTTATCCCTTGAATTGGGTTGTCATAACTCTCATTGATACATCACCTTAGCTTGTTGTGTTTTCTTTGTTTAGATAGCCGCTCAAATTAACGTTCAAATATATGTGTGTCATTACCGGGAAGATAACTCTGCACTTTACAGTAAAATGTGTTTAATTTCTAAACGCGTTTAGATATAAAACATGTTAAGACATAAGTGTTTAGTTGTTAAACACAATACTATACACGTTTAGATCTAAACATGTAATAGAAGTGTTTATTTCCTAAACACAATTTTTACAGTGTTGGAAATAAATTTTCAAATTCTGGAAAACTTTACAGTAAACAAATTTTATTATTATGGATGACAAGTTGGAAGGAAAAACTTTATATCGACAGTGTTTTATTAATAGCACAGATCTTATACATGTAAAGTTTTGAATCAGACATGCAGCTAATACTTAAAGAATCTGGGAAGATTACTAGAACTTCAACATCTAGTCTAGAGGAAAAAAAGTACTACCGCGATTTAGATAGGACTAATGCTGTACAAAAATGCAATATATGTAAAGTATTTTGTGGGAAAACATCCATGAAAATATTGAAAGTACAATTCATACTGTTTGGTACAAAAATTTTTTAAACGAAGAAATTGTCATGTACTTTGCTGCAATCGTGATCGTTATTCAAGTGAACACCAAAGTGTTGGTTTTACGTCATTGATAAACTGATGAGAATCAAGTTTCTGACAAGCAAATGTCTTATGGTCATATAATTTGTCTTTTTATTTACTTGTTTAACTCTCTTGAACTATTTACAATTCTAGTATGTAAATGTATTTAATTTTTTCTACGTTTCTTTCAACTCCTTGCAACCACCTTAAATGAGAGCTGCGTAGGAATTTTTAATGCTTATTTATGTCGAATGTCATGTTATGTACATTTAATATATTCCGCCTCTAATAATACTTCTCATTAACACAATTCCTCTGAAAGGTGTTCAGTTCCCACGTTATCATACAATTGAAACTATGCTTTACCAAAAATGAATAGAGCTTTTAAAATAATAAATCTTAAAACACATAATTCATGAAAAAATATTCTATTTACAAACGTACCTATTTCAAAGAAAGATTTTTACTTACTTATGGAAAACATAAATCCTACCGTTCTTTTCTCTCACTTCAAATTTTTTTGTTAATACGATTATAGACTTCCAGATATTGCCACAGGCTCTGTACCTCGTTTACAGATATTGCCGCAGGCTCTGTACTCGTTTCCAGATATTACCCCCACAGGCTCTGTACTCGTTTCCAGATATTACCCCACAGGCTCTGTACTCGTTTCTCAGTTACACCACTCCTTAGTATTGGATTTCCCTCTATAATTCTGTAAAAGCAATATGACACATCTTTACTTTTACCACATAATAGATCGATCTGACTTGAGCCAGATTATCTATGTTTAAATAACAGTTAAGACGCAAAGATATTTATTTTGGAATCAGTTCTCTGTACAAGCATATGAAAGCTTAATAATATGACATTTTAGGAGTTCTTACGTGTCAATTGCAGGATTACTGCATGGTATTAATACATGCATCAAGAGTTGCTGTTTAACCCTTTCGGTTCATATGCTGAACGAGTACATGTAGGTTCCAAAAAAATATAATAATATTTTCTATCATTTTAACGAGTTTGAATTTAATGTTGAAATCAGTTTTATAGAAATTAATAAACAAAGCATCGTCTTGCTCGATTTCAATCTTGTGTTCATTCTTCTTCTAAACAAACTATAGAATTAAATCATACATTTCATGATTTTAAAACATTTGTTTTTCTTACATTCCTCATATTGTAGGAAGTAACCACAATTAATGCGACCAAATTTTCGAGCATACAGCATATATAAAGAGTTTTAAGATTAAGGTCTCCCGCACAATCCACAACTGAAAACACTTTCACATGGACCTAAAGCAGGTACATATATATCACGTATATTGTGTGTAATTTTTCGATATTGATTTTTTTTTTTTTTTGATAAAATAAGAAATTAAATAATTTGTATTGAGAGAACAAAAAGGATAGAAAATCAGTGACATTTAATTGAAAAGTAATACTCCACTTTCATTACGATCAATATCATTTCTCAACCTAGGGGTGATTTGCTAAGAATTTTGAGTATTTAATGGCTGTTTAATGAAAAATCTTCCAGTGTATTTGAAAAACCAACAATGAACAGGACATACACACACACACAAATACAAACAAAGAAACAAAAAAAAAACAAAAAAAAAAAAAAACAAACAAACAAACAAACGAAAAAACCCCCCCCCCCAGCAACTTAACAACAAAACTAACAAACAAAACCAGAAAACCCCAATAGAATAACGATTAACGTACGAGGAAAAAAGTGTATTTAATCTTAAAATATGTATTGAAAGAAGCAGACCGCCAGTTCTTTTTTTATCATCAGCAACGGCTAGCACTAGAATTGAAACGCAAGTGGTTAATTTAAGGTCAAGAAAGTATCAAGGGGGCGATTAATGCTTGAGTATCACAGATTCTAAATGTTTACATACTGTTAAAAAATTCCCAAATTAACTTTCCCTTGTCTTAACCAATATTTTGTAGGGTGCTCTCAACTTTCTTTTTGCATGGTGAACATTACAACTTTGAAAATGCATTTTTCGAGTAATATGATTCAACTGCCATACGCAATGAAGAATTCTATACAAAACATACTTTTAGTTATTTACAACAGTCTCTTGATGCTAAGCTTCTTTTTTTGTTGGATTAATGCAGCAAGAACAAATGCATTTTGTCTTAAAAATATACATTTCAACTTTAATTAGAATTCACAACGCTTTACAATTATCTTTTATATATATTCTTTCAGTACCATGGTGCCTAAATGTTAGAAAAACTAAAGAACACACACACAGAGAGAGAGAGAGAGAAAGAGAGAGAGAGAGAGAGAGAGAGAGAGCATTCACCTGCTAATGCTGTCTTAGGTGACTTGTCCTAATACTTCCATATTAGGTAAGCTAAAAAACCTACCTAAAAATGTACCTACCATTATAACCTACCTACCTTCTCTACCTGCGGACAGTGCACGATGTTTTATCGATATTGTTGACATCGCTGTATATAATTCAAAGCACACATTTACACATTCAGCTAGCATTGTCAGCTATTTCAACATCCCAGGTTTGGATGACATCAAATCGACATCATGTCAACATTGCACTCTCCTATTCTGATTACATTGTCGATACAGCAATGCTGAATAATATATTTGTTAATCTCTTTTGCAATGTTAAACGTTATCGAGTTGATATCTTGTCAGCATTGCATTCTTTTTTATTGTTTACATCGTTTACATCGTTGTCATTGCAATGTCGGACGATATCGAGTCGACATCGTTTCAACGTTGGATTCTGTTTTTTTGTTTACATCATTTACATTGTCGACATTGCGATATTGGTTCTTCTTTCTTGTTTACATCTTTCACTTCTTCGACATTTCAATGTTGAACGATATCGAGTCAACATCGTATCAATATTGAATCTTTTTTTCTTTTTTTAAATCGTTCACATCGGCATTATCGCAGCGTTAGACGATGTAAACTCAGTATCAAACCAACATTGTTTACAGCGATGTTGACGATGTAGACATAGAAATTATAAAATTGTAAAGATGTACACTCGATATCATATCAACATTATCTCTTATGCGATGTCGATGATGTCGGCATACAATGTAGAAATGATAACAATGTAGACGATGTACATGTAAACTCGATATCGCATCAACATTGTCAACATTGAGATGTCGACGACGTCAACATAGTGAATGAAAACAATGTAGACGATGTAATAATGATATCGATGTCAATATTGTCAACTTTGTGATGTTGACAATATCGAATTGATAAAGTGAACTGGACAGGAATGCAGTCATTGGTTATAACAGAACCTCCTTCCAACTTCGGTGAAATTCTCTATAACTAAATTTACAGTTTTAGATTGTAATACATGTACCAAAATTTCTATACAAAATAAATGAACCAAACAAATTGGAATGAAATCAGTATATCAGGCTTTAACACTATAGAAATTGTGTTAAGTGAATGAAATCATGATTATATTTGAAAGAGAGATAAAATATATTTATGGCATTAACAATTTACTATTTTACATACTTTTTATTCATTGAAGGAGGATAAGATATGGTGTTCTAGTGATGAGAGGATTATGGAAAGCAATAAGCAATTTAATGGGTAACTGGGCTATCAAAATACTTATTGCATTGATATAAATGAAATCATGATTATATTTGAAAGAGAGATAAAATATATTTATGGTATTAACAATTTTACCTGACTTATAATCGCATTTGTAAAGTAAATTTATTCCTTTGATATCAGTTTGAGTCTGTTTTTGTAAAATTCCTCGATACTATCATACATACATACTAATCAATATCACAAATTATCCAGGGAAAAGTACGTCCGTCACAATTTTAAACCATTAATTCAACTCTGTTCCAGTCTGGTATGTATGTGTCGAAGACACCCTTTTTGCAGATTTTACTGATAATGAATAATTATGAATCAAGATTTATTTTTTAAATTCTCCAAAAAAATTTTTTACGAAACAACATTTATTTTTACCATACCCTTATTATTAATTTTCTTTTAGGTCTCTTGGTTAAACATCAGAAAATATTATGCACTGGTATAGTGTCCACTGCAAACTTTTTTTTTTACAATGCCTCTCCTTTAATTTTTGTCTGATTTCAATAAAGATTGGTATATACGAGGGTCTTTTTATAAGTAATGCAACATACGATTTATCGTAATTAATGTAGAACTTTTTTTTCACAGTCGAGAAGTACTATTTGATGACTAATAATCATCGAAAACTGCATCCTTTTTCTTACAGTCTTCGCAAATAAATTTACTTTTGAAGTAAGCATGGTCGTCACTATAGTGAGTTGAAAACTGTTTAAGAATGTTAATCTGTATAAAAATGGTCTCTGCCAAGAAGATGAAAATGAGGGCGTACATGTATGTAAAAACAAAAATCGCTGACGAACCAATATAGAAAAATGTGGTTTTGATATCTGAAAAGACAAGTTTATTACGCTGTACAGTGTTTAGATGGATTAAGAAATCCAAAAATGGCAAAGGAGTGTTACAAAATCGCAGTTTAACTGGTCGATCAAAATCTGCAGGGACACCAAAAAATGTCGATGCTGTGAGCAATATGATATCTGTAAATGCCAGATTTACTGTGAAAGTCACTTAATATTTATTTCATCATCATAGTTTATAGAGTTCTGACAAAGGAATTTAAAAAGATTTCTAATTCTTTCCTTAAAGATGCCTAAGAGAATGGTCTATCAAATAATAAACATTATCTTTAAAGAAGTTATGATAAACTTGGGAGATGGGTATCAAAACACTGGTGCATTTTCTTTTGCATAAAAGGAAGAACAATAATAAAAAGCGGAATCAGAGAGAAATCTGTCTCTGATTATTGCAAGGAAAGAGTTCCAAACATGTTTTATACCGGTTATTTCTTTAGTAAAAACCGATCACGGTAGCCTAGTGGTAGGGCGCTCGCTTCGTGAACGGTAAGCCCGGGTTCGATTCTCGTTCGCCGCGCCGCGTCAAACCTAAGACCTAAACATGTGAAGTGTCTGTTCCTTTGCCAAGAACCCGGCATTCACTAAAAGTGAAAGTCACTCTTTCGGATGAGACCGTAAAAACCGAGGTCCCATGTCACGGTAGGCGTGGCATGATAAAGAACCCTCACTGCTCAATGGCCCTGAGTGCCGAGGATACGTCTAAATTTAAAGCCCTTCACCGGCATACGGTGACGTTTCTATATGAGTGAAAAATTCTCGAATGGGACGTTTTAAGCAATATTCAATCAATCTTTAGTAAAGAGGTCAGGTAATACACGAATCTACACCTAAAGGAAGGGCTATCAATGATAGTTTTTATGTTAAAATTGCATTGAGGAAAATCCAGCAGCTTTTCTGTGAGGGAAGTCCAAATACCGGTCCCCAAGTTAATTTTCCCCAAGTTAAAATTCTTTGATTAATTGCATAGATTTCTGATTGCACGTGTGTAGAGTCTTCCAAGCACAGGTGTGTGTACTGTTTGCTGGTGACGCAAGACTGGTGACAGTATTTGCTACGGACATGAAGAACTATCCCTAACAAAAAAAATACTTTAGTAAGCTATAGTTATCAATGATTAACAATATTAAATCAAAATTTCAAAGTTATCACTTTAGTAAATAAAAGTTTTCAAAGTTATCACTATAGTCTCATAGTGATCACTATAGTAAATCAAAGATTTCTAACTTATCACCATAG